GCCCCGCCTAACGTGGGCCTGGGCGGCCGCCGGTGGCCACGCGGCCCTGGCGCCCAATGGGCCATTCAAATCGGGACCTCAAACGCCCGTAATGGGGAGCGATATAATATAACGACGCCGCCCGTTCCCTGCGACAGTGTCACGCCGCAGGCGGGGACAGGGGCGGAGGCGGGGACGAAGGCGCTGGTGGCGTGGCCGCGGAGTAGTTCGCTTCGAGGCGGGCAGGCGGGAAGGGGGGGGGAGTACTGATGAGGATTTTTCGAACACTCGACTGTTTGGAATGACAACGTTCCAATTAACATAGGAGTCATTTCGAGTAAACTGATGTCAAAGTTTCACTACCTCATTCACTAGCCATCTCTCTGTAGCAATTTGTATACAGATTGCAGCGCGAGTCTGGCCTACTAATAGCGAAATTCAGATAGAACCTTGTCACACTAAAATCTTATTTTCTTTTCTTTTGTCAGTTGTAATATTGTCATTCGCAAGGGTCGGAATGCGGATGGTTGCCTGATTCGTGCTTCAGGGTTTTGGAATCGGGTCAATTGTACACTGTCGGTGCACTTGACGTTATGCTTGGTGTTCATATCTGAAGCATGTATTAGGATGGCAGCACATTGAATTAAATTAACCTTTTTTTCTTCAATTCTCTCTCTCATTTTATATAATGTTTCTAGCACTTGATTAGATTTATTCTGCAAAAAAACATCAGTAGAAACTGTATGTGACGTAGAGGGGAAAAGGTTATCAGCGCACGTTTTCTTGAGTTCCAGAATCCCTTCCAGTCATTTTAACTATAAATGGTGAGTAAAAGTTTAACATAAATAAATAAATGAAATATATAAATTTTAAAAATCGTAAAATTAGCAATATTTGAAAAATAGTCATTTTCGTTTCTGAGTTATAGAAACCTTATTTGCATCAGTACACGAATTGAAACTATGATTTTTCTGCATTACTAACAAAATAGCAACTCGCCCTTTCCTCTACTCTTACCATTGTAAGCAAAAGGAGAGTTTATCAAAACGTGCGCATAGTGAAGCTACATTTACGTCCAGATGGAAAAACAAGGGCCATCTCAGCATTTGCTCAATGGATCAGGGAAACTGGACCAAAACTTGATCGAGATGGGAGTCATTGTCCCGGAAATTATTTGTTACAAACATATTAAGTCTTTTTATTTTAATTAAAAAAAATTATACAATACATATGTAAACTAATTCACTACATATCAATGTTTTGTTAAAATAAACATTATTTTTATTTTTGATAATCAGTATAGTCTCTAATTGTATATAAATAGTTATGTAGCTGAAAAGATTTTACTGTTAACTTAAATTTGTGAACCGACTTCAATTGTTTAATGTCATCTGGCAGTGCGTTGTAAAGAAGCGTACATGTATTGTATGTGGATTTCTGATTGTGAGCTGTTGATACTGACACTTGATTAACGTGATTTTTACGATGTGTGTTGTAATTATCAATATCAGTATTGCATGATAATATGTTTCCACCATTAAGTAAGTCACTTTTGACAAATATTACAGATTCGTTAATATATATGCAAGACAGTGGTAAGATTCCAAGCTCAATGAAGAGAGGTTTGCAAGGGTAACGCGGATTTGCAAAGAAACAACTTACTTTTAGAAATCTACTGACTTGAGTATATGAGTAGACCTTGTATATTACTCGGGCTTCTGCTACTGATGAACAGATACGCACTTGCCACCAAAATCACGTTGCACAGCTGTCTGAAAGTGGCGTAACTCGCACAACGACATTCTGCACATAAATATGCGCTCCAATACGTGATATAAGAAGTATTATAGCGATTCCATTACTAAGTAAAATTATTTATATTCTATTTTCCACTCTTCCACATTCTAACCCACCGCAGTAGAGTAGTTTCAAGGTAAATCGACAACTGCATATCATCTATGCTAAATAATGTGACAATTGATAAATCGGTCACTACAGCTCTATTATCAACTATTAAATTATAATTGGGATAAACGTGCTCAATATTTTGTATAATTGCATAATTCTAAATTGAGAAAATTGCGAAATCCATTTCACATATGCAATATTAATACTACTAATACGCAGTTTCTTAAATAATTCCGGTCATTACTAATTCGTTTCCCTCTGAAATTTGAATTTGGATATTTTTGAGCCTTTTTTGTGTATTATGTGGTTAATGGTATTTCTGAACACGAACATCCCTTGTTATTTAACTAATTAAACTTTTATATGTGTTTGGGTCACAAAGACTATTGCCTCAGAATCATATTACGAAAATGAAGATGCAACATTGGCTCAGGAGGATGTCATGCAGATTCAATTTCCCTTCACCCTCTTACTGTCACTTTCTACATGTGGGGTGCGACTGTCCACATACTCCATCCCGCCATGACACGCAGTCCATGCCGACAGAATACACACTTCACCAAAACATTATCCACTGAAAGTTCAGGCGTCAACAAAAAGTAGTGGGCGAGTCTGCGAAGCTATTAGATGAGTTCAGTGGAAGACGAAAACTGTGTCCTCCTATAGAAAGGCGCACACCTGTCAGACGACAAGATACTTAAAGGAAGAGAGAGTTAAGAATCGGTTTTCCCCCGAGATGTAACGAGTTTTTAAGCCCTCACCTTTGCAACAATGGGGTCTCATAATGAATGATTTGCGTAAAGGGCTTGCAGGAAGTTAACCAATATTATTGTCCTAATATTCCTTTTTTCATGAGACATTAAATTAGATTTTACTAACAATTACGTCATTACGTAGCATAAGGATATTTTGGCACTTGTACTTTCATCCTTAACTCTTACTGACAAAGAAACAACAAAATGAACAAATGTCAGAGCATATATTAAAGTAACAAATGAGAACTATTTCAAATGCCAAATATTAGGTATTTTACTCCGAGCTAATGAACACATTTTATTTGGAGATACAATTTACACTTGTTACATAATGATTAATTATAGTTTCATTTTATTCGTATATTATTTCATAGGATCAAATGAAACAATTCTTTGGTAAGGACTACTGATTTCATGCTATATAAAGTGCCTGAATTAGTTTTGTTATATTTTTTATTTCAGAACATTTGACTCTTCATACTAATTTCCAGTGGGAATGTATAAAAATTTTCCCCGGGGGCTTTTTCTACTTCACGGGAAGGCGATTTCGACCATCCGCGCCGGATACTAGCTGTGTTCCTCATGGGGACACAATGACCTTTACACAACACACACTTGCGGATTCCTCGCTCTGTGGTCAGCACTCACAACGCCTTCCGCGACTAAACACATATTCGTACGTAAAGACAAGGGACAGACAATCATGCTCACGATGGGACCGAACCCACGATCCTCCATACGGAGGCGCTGAGTTACACGCTCTAGCCACCTCGACCATTCAGATCGGAGGGAATTTACAGTTATTTAATTTTCTAATTTCACATTTCTGACTTGACACGTAATGCAAAATAAAAGATATCGAAAACATAATTTTTTACATCGAGAAGGCTTTGAATGAACAAGTTTGTAATAAAAAGAGAGAAAAGTTTCGGAAAAGAGGAAAATGTCGAAGAACGTTGTAAATTATATACGCATACAAAAGTGTTCAAAAAATAAGGTTGACTGGTAAAGACTCCTATAAAGAGTTAAGCACCAAAATAAAGGATAGAGTATGTTCCAAGAGCCTGATGAGGAGAAAGAGAGAAGATTCGAGAGTGAAGCAACTCCCAACTTATTTTCGTGTTAAATAACCAAGTGAAAGCATGTAACTCTTTGCATGGATCCATCTTCTGCAAGCTTAGTGGTTTACTTACTGATCACATTTTTCTGAGTAGAGCGAGTGGGTACATATTGAATAGCAAACAGATGAACGCAAAGGAGAAGGGAAATATGTTACTGGCGTATACGAGTATTCAAGACAAGTGTCAGAATGTAGAAACTTCAAAATATAAAAATATTTGTGTAATAGCCGGTGTGAATTTTGAATTTTATGATCGAAATAATTAAAGAAAACAAAAAAGGGATGTGTTTTCACCATGAACGTGATTTTACATAAATGAAAAGTGCCGTAGTTAACGTTGATAATATTGTATTGCCCATATCTACAGTAAATTGCCTCAACTCTTATGTATTTTATTAAAAGGTCGATGTATGAGATTTATTCTGTGTTTTTTTATATTTATTTAATTTTTGTTTATGTTTATATAGTTTAGTATTATTTACTTCTTCATATGTATTTTGTCGACTTATAAATGCTATTATTTTAACTTAACATTGAACTATACTAACTACAAATTGATGTAGAGGACTCATAGAAATACTATTTTAGTTTTTGTAAGAAAAAATATTTAGTAATGCTTCTAATGGAAATCTGTATTTAATACGGGTTGGGAAATAGTTGATTGATGCTAGGTTATAGTGGGCGGCTTGGACTATTGAGGTTATATTTGAGTTATGTTGAGTTATATATGAATTTATTAGATAGACGATGAAGTGGTGGGAGATAGGAGATAGGTGGTAGGTTTAGTTCTTTGTGGAGTCTTTTTGGTATGAACCAGGGGGCATTTGTTGCTAATCGGAGGAATTTGTTTTGCCTCAATTTATTTTTGTTATTTAATGTCGCATCAACATCTAGGTCATTGACAACCACTATGGCATTTAACGGTATGGTAAGTGTGAAGATGACATATGGTGATGATGGGGAGTGAAAAGGAGGTGAAAGGAACACAAATACAACCATGCTCGAGAAGGGACTTGAACCTTCGGTCCGGGATCACTACGGTACAACTGTCTTAACGATCTCGGCCATCCGGTTTATATTTGTTTACGAGGCATTGATCCATATGGGGCACGCGAAGAGCCTAATTATTGTTTTAAATAAGACTATTGCATAGTTTAAAGTAAGTTTTCTTTTGTAGTTGAGTAGGGGCTTTAGTTGGATTAATTTTACTTTAGTGAGCTGAAAACTTTTCGGTTATATGAGCTTTGTGTTTTGGAATTGTGGATTTCAACTGTTATCGTGAATGTACTATCTGTGATGAAGTTTTTAATGATATTTATTAGGTATTTGGGTCTCCCTATTGATTGGAGTTTGTATATCAAGTCAGAGTGCCATACTCTGTCAAATGCTTTTGATATTTCAATGAATCTTTATAGGTGTGAAATTGTCTTTTTGTGTTTATTAAATACTTGATGGGCGTTTATAAAGTCTGCTATTGTTTTAAACATTAGTTTTACTCGGTTATTGTTGTAGTCTGTTGTGAATTGATCTATTAATTGCGTTTTAATTTGTCTGTTGAACTCAGATATTTTTGGCACCTTGTTTACATAGATGGGTGGAATTCTTAAGCTTTTATTATTCTACCACATCGCCTTACGCGTGAAATCCCACACTGCCTCCACGACGTGCAGGACGGGCAGTGGAGGGGGATGCGCGAGCGTACGCGGTCGGACCGGCACGTGCTGGAGCAGTGGGTCCTCCGCGCCTGACATGCAAAGTGCGGCGCGGCGCGGCGTAAGGCACGTTGCCGGGAAATCGAAGGCGGAGCAACCGCAAGCGCCAGCGGCGTTATCGTATCGCGGGAGCGGGCCGCGCGCCGACAGGTTAATAGAGCGGAAGAACAGGTGTTCCTCTCCATCCACCGCCGCCTGGTGCGGAGGCGCACGGGCGAGCGCCATTTAACGGGCAGCTGAGCACCACTCGCCAGCGACCGGCGAGTGCGTTCTCGTGGGGGTTGTGTTTGGTTAGTGATGGTTAGTGAGAGGGCTGCATATGCGCTGATGAACGGGAGATAAGAGAGCCGTTTCACTTATTTCCTCCGACAGCATGCAGAGAAAACTCCCAGATAACTTCAAGAATACCATTAAAAGAAAAACCCATCTAAAAATTGAAAAAAAAAACTCTCAATCGCCACGTCTAACATGAAAAACATAAATACAGTCAAACCTCGATAACTCGAACGTCTATAACTCAACATCGATAACTCAAACGTCGATAATTGGTAAGTCGATAGCTCGAATGCCGTTGAACTCCAATAAAATGACTAGAAATCCAGACCCTAGGAGCTATTTCCTACGGAAACGTGGCAGCTCCTCTTTGCGCTATTGCCGTCCCCTCTGAATCTCCGGACAAGCGAATTTGGTATTACTCAGCAGCCCCGGCAGTCGCGTACTAGCTAGGATAAGCAATATCTTTTGTCAAAATCTTGTGCAACGTATCACGGACATGGACAAACATATGCTCAAATCATTACCTTGAAATAAAAAATCTTTCGTTTCGATCGAGAACTGTGCCAAATATTCTATTCCGATTCCAATCACCAGTTTATTAGGAGTGAAGATATTTTAATTTATTGTTTTAATTTTTACTCACCAAAATGGATCAGCATTTTTTTGTGCAAGCCATTTAACAATAAATAAAAAGCAATAAAAATGTAGAGAAAAGTAGTGTAACAGCGCCGGTAACTGACGAAAAGTGACAGCAAAATCGTCGTGGCGAATAAGAATTATATTTTACGACATACGAATACTGATTGCCCGATCTGAAGTTCCCCCCTTTTATTCCAAACACAAAAACTCGTAAACAAAAATCTTGTTTTCGATTTATTTACATCATAACTAAGCCTAGAAATTATATTTAAAGCTAATATTAATTCATATTTAAAAGCAGTACTCGATTATCAACAAAATATGATGAAATTAAATGTGTTAAATAAATTATTATTTACGTTAAAAATGCATTGATATTATCACGTTATTAAAAGAGTGTGATACCTGATATCACTCCAGGAATGTTCGGAGTTACAGTAAAATATTGATGAATATCCCCGAGATCAGTTTGATTAAGAAATATTGGAGACTAATTGAATAGTTCTTGTTTTATTTTATTTTACTTTGATGAAATATAATTCGAGAAATATATTTAAGAACTTAATAAGCTGAATTAAAATAAATTTATGCTGCAATAGAACAGCGATTTCATATCACCTGATGGGAGGGAGAAAATCTATATTGTGCTTCCTGCTTACCCGTACATGGCAGAATAAAAGATGAATGGCGAGATAGTGGAATGACTTGTAGACAGGTGGCGTTGCATTTAGGAGAGATGGGGCGGTCGAAAGGGCAGACAGTGTCCAGCGAATGAAAGACGGGTGGCTGGAAGGGAGGAGGAAGGTATATTTATTAAGGCAAGAGAAGAGTATATGCTTAGTCAGTCAGTCATGCAAGCGGTCAAGTAAACTTCACTTGGAGAAGACAGCAGGAGGTGAGCCTTGTAACAGGTTCATGAGAACGGAAATAAGCCGTGTGCCGAAGTGATAGGAATATGATTGCTTGAAAAATTAAAATTTGAATCATATTGCTCACTGTTTGTTAGATATTTCCCTTTGGGTTTCTTTTGGTTTTGAAACTTTCTTGTTTCGAACTAGGTAAAGTTATACTCCAATTTGAATCTAGTGGCTGTTCAAAGCCACGAGCTGGACGGAGAAGGGGTCTGATCATCCAATCGGGACCTTCATTACAACTTAATTTTTTGGTATTGGGCTCACAATTGCATGACAATGCCCCCCTCTAATTCAATTTTGTGATCTTGTAGTGCCACTATGTTTAAATCGGATTACATGCTTCATTCGCTTTTCCATCACCGCGCGCTGTGCTCCAACTGTAAATCCAGATCCCATGTTTGAAATAGCAGTACAGAACTCAACAACATTGGTTTCACGTACTTATACGTCCTGCGTATTTTTAACGTCCGATGCTCTCACTGATGGATTGAGTGAACTTCTACTTATTTTTTGAGTGTGAATTTGGCACACTACATTATATCACATTACAATATTGGAGGGTGTTGAAGATGATAACACTATCTAAATGAGGAATGAAGGATAGAGAGGCATTGAGTTTTTATTTGCCTTCAGCTCGACATATCCTCATTAAAGTGAGATACGCCTTTTAAAATCTTCAAACAACTGAAATCACTGTGCTCTTTTTATTTACTTGACTGAATCATTACCTCACCGATTA